GGTGTGAAAAACAATATATATGACCTTTGTAACTAAACTAGTGTATAATAAAAATCATATTGAATAATTAAAAAAGCTAACACCTAAAAAAACTATAGGAAGCTTTCTAAAATTGCCCTTTGCCTTATCTCAGCAAGTAGAAAATACAATGAATTCAGGATAAAAGATTACAAGCTAGAAACACAAATAGAGGATGAAAAGTCAGTTGAGATGCGCCCTCGGTGGCTCAGATAATTCGTGCACTTGGCTGCTAACTGAAAGGTTGGCCGTTTGAGTCCGTCAGAGGTGGCTTGGAAGGCCTAGAGATTGACTTCTGAAAATCCGTCCTTGAAAAGTTGTGACATTGAGCTATCCTCTCACGCACATGGTCACCATTAGTTGGGATCGACTTAGTGGCAAGTGTTGAGCTTTTTATAGAGGTATTGGATTCTTTCCATACACTAAACTCTTTATGGCGCTAGTTTATTTAACCTTTATAACAACTTTATGAGGAAGATATTTATCCCCTTTCTACTGATGAGGAAATATGAAGCTTAGAGAGTTTATGTCACGTTTTCCAGGAACATACTATCTAGAGATAGTGGAGCGGGCTGATGATCCCTAAGTTCTAGAGGACTGGAGAAGGCCAGACATGTTTGGAAAGATCCCTGCTAGTGATGTTGGTACATCAAGTATTGCACTCAAACATTAAGCTCTTAACCAAAGGCTTGGTAGTTCAAACCCACTGGCTGCTCTATGGGAGAGCAGGAGTCTTGAGACTCCTGTGGGCAGTTAGTTCTATTCTGTCCCACAGGATTGCTGTGAGTCAAAATCGACTTGAAGGTGGTGGGTGGTGATGTGGAATTGAGGTATTTGGAGGCCATTCTATTTTTTTATGACTGTCTCCCATTAAAAAAAATTATACAAGATCTAGTCAGCCCCACATGGCAGTTCTTATGTTTTCTTCTTCTTTTATCTCTCCTTAAGTTGGCCACAATTACAAAATCTTAGGATGGAGACCCCAAAAGAAACTGGTTGCACTGCAGCCTGTCCTTTGAGAGACAGCAAACAAAGACCTTTGTAGTTCCTCGTTCAGGGACAGTGGGGAGTGATGTGCCCTGATCTTGGATACCTCTAGGGAGGACCTCCACCCAAAGCAAAACTATCCATTCATAGGCTATTTTTGCATACATTCTGAAAGTCAGGAAATCCTTGTAGAACTTAAAACTTCACTCATGCGTCTTAAGCCTTGCTTTCTCTTTTTCTAGCTTAATGGGACTTTAGAGAATGATTTATTACTACTTCACTATCATACTCCTTTATTCATTTAAGCTGCCTGGGAGGTTTATTCGGTAGTCATTGATTGAGTACCTGCTGCCTCTGGAGGAATGGCTATAGTTGTAGAAAAGGGTACAGATATTTTGTTTATAGGTTCACTGTGAGTCATATTCAACTTGACAGCACTTGACAACAACAGCAGCAGCAGCAGCAACATGTTGGATATCTAAACACATGTATATGAACTTTGTATGCAAACCAGTATAAAATAAAAAAAAAACCACACCAAAACAACTAAATAACACTAAACACTAAATAGTTTAGTCAAATTATTATATTTTTTAAAAATTTAGTGATTGGCACTCACTGATTATCGTTTAGGGAGAATTGGCCCAGGGACTCTGGTGGCCTAGGGGTAAGGAGTTGCACTGGCAACCCAAAGGTACATGAATTGACTCCACCAGTTGCTCCATGGGAGAAAGATGGACAGTCTTCTCCCAAGGGACATGCTGCCTCTGAAAACCATCACAGGAGGGAGCTGTGATTCAAGTCCAGGCTTGTCTGCTGAGCTACTGCAGTATCTGACCACTTTGCTATGCACTCACTCACTTGCTGCCTGAAGCCAGAACACTATGTTGGATAAAGTCAGAGCTAGCTCATCCAGCTGAGGTTTATACATAGCATAGCTGAGAGTCTAAACTCAGGGTCTCTGTTTAAAAAGCCTGTTTCCATTGCCCCTTGGGGTTCCTCTCTGCACAAAACCTGGAAGACTCTACCCTACATCCAAGTAAATCCATGGTTTCTTTTAGTCATTTTCTTAGGTGCCATCAAGTGGCCTGTGAATCATAGCAACCCTATGCACAACAGCCCTAAACCCTGCTCTATCCTGTGCCAATCTGGTTGTCTCTGACACACCTATCCCCATTACTCTCATGACTAAATCAATCCATCTCATCGAGGATCTTCCCTCCTGCGCTGTCCCTACATCCTCTCAAGCATAATGTTGCTCTCCAAGGACTGGTCCCTCCTTGCACCATGTCCAAAATATGTCAGATGGAGCTTCAGAATCCTTTCCTCCAAGGAGCAGCCTGGCTTCACCCTCTCCAGGATGAACTTGTTTGTTCTCCTAGCAGTCCATGGTATATTCAATACTCTTCTCTGGCACCACAGCTCAAAGGCATCAATTCTTTCTATCGTCGCTTGTCATTGTCCAGCTCTCTGATGCATAACAAGTGATTGCAAAGACCATGGCCTGTATCAGCCACACCTTAGTCTCCAGACTGACATCATTATACCTCTCCTCTCCCCATTTTCAGGTGAGGAGCTCTGGAAACAATATTTTACAATAAAGGAATGGACATATTATTTACACTGCTACATCAGAAGGCTAGAACTTAAACCTAGTTTAGAATTCATGTTCCAGTTTGAGTCCCATAAGCCCAATTCACTTAGCTATGTGGTTCTTGCCCTTTTTGTATATTGAAAATGTTTCTTGACAGAAGACCTTGTTTTTCTGAGGTTGTTTCACGGTGCTGTAAGGAATGAATCTTTCCCCATCTGAACATCATTTACCATTTCTCTGAATAGTGAATAATAGTAATGGTGGAAGGCAAAGAAGTATGTCAGCATCACATATAACAAGGACCAGCCACTCAGATATAAAATGTTGCCAACCTATACAATCTCAGTCTTGAAAATCTTCGAGCCCAGAAGTTCACTGCTTTAAGGATCAAGTATCCCTCTGACTACTAAATGGGTATTTTGTTAACCATTTATAGTAAAACACATTTATTCAAACTGCAAGGTCAGGTAATTGTCCCTTAAAATAGATGCTTTTTTTTTTTTTATATTTGTCTGTTGATGTCTGTAAACATCAGATAAAGGCCCAGATGTATTTAATTATTTTTGCTCAAAGAAAATATGTTCTGTTTAAACACACTTTAAATACATTATTCCTGAATTGAATAAGTAAGCAAGAAATGGCTGAAACGAAACAGCTTTGATTATTTAGAATAAAGATTTTTAAGAGAAGTCTCATCTAAGAGGAAAAACTCATCTCTATCTTATATTCATTTCTGGTTTTGGATATAAGCCTGGGTTAGCTGTTCAAATTAATTGGTTTTTTTGTTTTTTTTTGTTATATAGAGAGAACTGTGATGGAGATGGGGGTTGGGGAGCTCTTGGTAGAGAGGTGGGGATACTCACCTCAATAGAAATGAGGATAATAACTGTTTTAAAATCAAGCTTGTCATTTGCAAACAATAGTAGCTGATTTGGGGATAATTTTAAATCCATGTCACATACAGTCACTCCAGTTCACATATTGAATGATACATTCACTCCAGTTCACATATTGAATGATACATTCACTCCAGTTCACATATTGAATGATACATTCACTCCAGTTCACATATTGAATGTGGGACTATTCCTGTGGCACTTGGCGTTTAAAAAAAAAAATTAATATTTGTTGAGTGCTGTTCTGGGTCAGTCTTTCCTTCATAACTTTTTTTCATGTAATTCTCACATTCCTGTGATTTAGGTAATGGTAACCTCCTTTTCAGAGATGAGAAAGCTGTGACTCAAAGCAGCTGAGTAATTAACCCAAGGGCACACAGCTAGGAGATGTCTCAGAAGTAGAACCCAGTTCCAAGTCCATGCCTGATCTCCTGCACCAGGCTAGCTGATGAACAACCTGATATGCCAGAATTTTTATATTCAACAAAAAAATTTTAAAGCAAGCATATAAAGCATTCATTAAGAGAAATTTATTCATAAGTCGGCTTGTCTAGTCCTCCAATTAAAAAAAAAACACCACAATTGGAAACAAAAATAAGATTTAAAAAAAAATTTTTTTTTTACATGTAGACAGTTTCTTTTGAGATAAATCCCTCGCCCTAAGTTTCTACCTCCATGATGTGGCAGGGTTCAGATCTGTTACACTTAAGATCGCTAGTTGTAGTAAACTTGATGGCATCTAACAACAACAAAGAGTAACAACTGAATTAAGAACCTTCCCCATTGCCCACTTTTGGGTCTTTTTGGTTTTATGTTATAAGCTCGGATGTTTGACATTGCTGCGGGATCAAGCTTCTCAGTGCTTGTAGTTAAAGGTAGTTAACTCTGAAATAAATTTTTTTTCTCCTATCTTATTTCTGATTTTGCTTTAGTTTGAGAATAGTACATACTGCTCTGAACCCTCCCTTCTGGTTACCCTTCATGTTCAAAAGTGCCACCTCAGTGACTTGCCTGGGAAGAAAGTATACTGTGTTGGAAATCATGCTGCGTAAAAACCTAAAACCACATCTGAAAGGTCCTAGCTGATAGAAAAGAGTAAAAAACAGTCTGCATGTTCTTTCACCAAGTTATAATTTTTGTTTTGTTTAAAAAATAAGTACAGGAAACTCCCTTGAGGAATCCTTGAAAATGAATTCCACTTTGTAAAGATAACCAAAGCAGATTGTTTTCTCAGTGGCTCGGACTTTCTAAATAGAAATATTTACGTGTTAGAGAGCCTAGGAAGTTGCATATGCATGATCCTTTTAGTAGCTGTCATTGCAACTCAGAATCTAGAAAGCTTAGTGCTGTGGTGCATGCAGGTCCAGGGGACAGGGCAGACTGGGAGGGGCACGAATTAAAGAGTCATTCGTTATATCCCTTTTTTCCCCCTCCTGCTTTATCTGACATGTTTGATTGCATGTGTCTAGAGCAGATATGCTGAAGATCTTTCTTCTCTTTTCCAGACCCCAGGCAGGCACAGTCCTCCCCTCCGTGGTCCTATGACCAGTCTTACCCCTCATACCTGAGCCAGATGACGTCTCCGTCCATCCACTCCACAACTCCACTGTCATCCACGCGGGGCACTGGGCTTCCTGCCATTACCGACGTGCCCAGGCGTATTTCAGGTAAAGATCACACTTTAACTAAACCCCACTCCCCTACACCACCCCCCAACACACACAGAGTCCGGGGTGGGGGGAGAGGGAGCTGGGCTGGGCTGGGCTGAAGCTGTCTTTCCTAAATCCAGAGAAGCATGTGGGTGAGGGTATGCCAATGAGGAAACTGAGTTTTCTTGAATTGTTTAGGGTTATCACACATTAGAACACTTTAAAGTCATGAGACTGAAAATACCCTAAAGGTGGCATCATTTTCTTAACATGACATGTAATGCCCTCAGTTTCAGTCCTGACTTTTGTTCTCTGTGCTGGGCTAGGGCTTTTTCCAGGGGGTCTTCACGCCAGACCTTCCTCTGCTTATGTTCTTTCTTCTCCTAACTTCTGTCTGGAAACCAAATTACAGGCTGATTGTACAGCCCTCTGTTTCTAAAGGCTTATTGTTTTAAATCCCAGGAGTCCAAGCTAGCCAGTTCCCAGAGAGAGTGCTTATAAATCTGAGCCTCCATCAAACACTAGTTATTAAGTGCATAAAGGCTTTGGTCATCGTTCAGAGCGACGCATGGCCTCTGAGCGAATGGCTCAAAATAGAGGCAACCTTTCCACGAAGCACATAATAAGATACTGCACTCGTTCCCTGCATGGCAGCTCTGTGCTCACACGCTACCTGCTTCTGAGGCACCACGCACACCTGTGGGTCATGGACGTGTGTGCTCTGGCACAGTCAGGCTACCTTGCCTATCACAAAGTCATAGTTCACAGAGCCAGAAAGTGCCCTCGAAGACGTCAAATTGACCAACAGAAAAAAAGCTAAGGGGCCTTGGTTAACCATATGTATCTTGTGAATAATAATGTCAAAGAAACCGCTCTGTACGCTCCCAACATGCAACCTACAAAAATTGCCCTCATTTAAAAAGACACAGACCCAGTGAGGCACACACTCTACTGGATCTCACACGTATCAGACACTCTTCTTAGCACTCGGGCCCCATGCACCTGTGTGACTCCTGGCCAGGTTAATGCCTCTGTTTCTTTCTCTTTGTGTCTGTTTCTCTCCCTCTCTCATTTTCTGCAAAGCTCGAAGCCGTTACTCACTCCGCTGAGTTGCATCTCTGACAAGCTGAAGCTCCACCAGCAGGCTTGCAGGTTTTCATTAGTACAGACTCCTTTATTTCTTTCAACTTGGGAGGAGGGAAGGCTTTGTTTCTCAAGCAAATAGCAGGAAAGGGCTCTCTGGTCCTAGTGCCTTCTCAATGTCTGCAGCAGATGGACTCCCGTGGGGGTGAGTAGGGAAAGAAGAAGGGTGGAGGGAGAACTGGAGCCGCAGGTTCTTTGGGAAACCATTTTGCCATTTTGTTCATTATGACTGCTATTATTGCTTGTATGAGTCACAATGTAATTGTTGGGGGATTGTAGAGACTATAGAATTTGAATTATCATTGCTTGTGATTGGGATCACTGTCTCCTTCAGTTCAACATCAGCTAAAGGCACGGGAAAGAATTATTCAGTCAGAGGGAGAGAGTTAGGGCTGATAAGAGACAGAAAGATAGTGTTTGATGGTACCCAGTTCATCTGGTCAGTCCATGTGCCTAACTGAGTGCTTGCTCTGTTTTACGTAGTGCCAAGACAATGCTTTGATGGGGCAAACTCTTGCAAACTCAGTTCAGGGCCTTCTTTCTGCCCAACCCTCTGTGGCTGAAACATTGCTTTTGTGCCCTGGCAGAGAAAAAATCTCAGGGAGTGATTGTCTTTTTAGAGACACTCACCTCATTTGTTGCTCATGGAGTCGTAGAGAGTCATAGTTGACTCAAAGACACTTAACAACAACTTCCTGTTTGAGTTCAGTCAGAAGACCATTAGGAAAGGACCTGTCAAATTACACCACAAAAAGGTGTAGCCCCAAGTAGTATTGCTTACTGCTTATCATTCACTTGTTGGTTTAGATCTACTAGATTATTTTCAGCCTGTTTAATAATGATGACTTAAAATGCCGTTGGGGCAAATGAATAAGCAAGGTTAGCATGGGTTTACCTGTTCCAGTGAAACCCGTGTGCAGTTGTTCATTTCTGACTAGTAAGTAAGCACAAGAAAGCTTGTGTTTACTTTGATTATCAGTTCACCTGAACTTCCATGTCCATAGCAACACAACTCTTTCCATTCCATAGAGGAGGAAGCAGACTAGACTTTGGTAAGTGTTGCGCTAGCTAGAAGGTTGGCAGTTCAAACCCACCAGCTACTTTGTGGGAGAACGCTGAGGCGATCTCCTGTCATTAAGACTTAGGGCCTCAGAAACCCGATAGGGGGTCACCATGAGTTGTGACTCACCTGTATTGACTTTAGTTGTAATTTGTGTTTGCACACCTGAGGTCAAAGGTAGAGAGGACCCTCTGTTTAAAACTACAGTAAGTCTCTGTGAGAGGAACGTCTGACTTAGGGGCATCTGATACTTGCCCTTTAATGTTAAGTACATGTGCCCTCACTTTGAAAGGATTGAACCAACCAGCAACAAATTCTTCATCACCGTCACCTTCACTTGCTTTACCTGCAGCTCTTAAATCGTTTCCAAGGCCAGGAGCTTTATTATTTTTTTTAAATTTTTTTTCTCTGCACTAAAGCAGGATGGAATAACAACCAAAGGCACTTATTCTGACTTATCTACAAATTCAACTTTAAGACACTGGGAATGAATCTGTTCTAACTTGAGAACTGCTTGCAGATTAAAACGGAATTTAGTCCAGTTTCCCACCCTCGTCCCAAGTTTTTCTGTGTGTTGTTACTGGTGAAGCAATGTGGTGCCAAGGTGGGAGGTTCTGTATAAACATTAAAGAGAAGAGAACAGAAAATCCCTCTTGTCCGCGTGTAGGGAAGTAGCAGGAAACAACTAGACATGGACTGTCAGGGAACTGGAGGAGCCCAGATCGGCCTGACCTCCTCCTTGGTGTGGGGTGGTGCCAGGACATAGAGCGCTTGCTAGTAGACTCAGGGATCAAATCACTTGGAATCAGCACCGTTTTCATTTCCCTGGGAACTGGTCCTTGGGCCCTCCCCTCCTGAGGAACCTATCTGTAGGTTCTGAGGATCAAGCATAGGTCTTATTTTCCACTTCAGCATTCTGCCACATAGAGCTGTTAGTCCCACAGACGAGACCCAGTAATAATGAGGTGGGTTATAGTGATACAATTCTTGGGTCGTAGTGATTTGTTGGGGTTTTTTTGGGAGGTGGGGTGCTATAGTAACTGGAATCCTTTGCATTGAGTCCATTTCTGTGCTTCCTGTCTTCATTATGGAAGGAGCCCTGGTGTGGATTCTCTCGTGGCCTCCTAGGTAAGGAGTTGCACTGGCAATCCAAAGTCACTTGTTTGAGCTCACCAGTAGCTCTGCAGGAGAAAGATGCACAGTCTCCTTCTGTGTGAGTTTATAGCCTCTGAAAACCTGCTGGATGGTCACCTACGGGTTTCCAAATCGACAGTGCCTAACATCGGCAATAAATGGGTAAAATACTTGACAACGAACCACAAGATTGGGGGTTGGAACCCACAAGAAAGATCAGAGGAGCAAAGACCTGGGGATCTGGGCTTCTAAGATTTCCATCTAGGAAACTCTATGGGGTGCTTCTACTTGATCCCGTAGGGGTGCTGTGATGGAATCGCCTGGCCAGCACGCAACAGTCTTCATTATGCTCTTTGCCAAGTAATGCTATTTCCCTGTTGTTGTATGGGCAGCTAAAACATTAGCCCAGAGCCCCACCCTTAAGCAGTGCTGTGGTCACATTATGAGATGTTTTCCAGAACAGTAAAAATTTTTGTTGTAGACGAACAACGAAAGGGATACACAGTCTAAAGGGACACACAAAGCCTTTTCAAATGATCTTGGATGAGAGAGGAGAATATCCATCAGTAGAACTGAAGATTCAGACCCAGGTTTGAATCCCAGCTTGTATACTCTCCAGGCACGTTTCTTCCTCATTTGAAACTTAGTCTTATTATGTTTTTAAATTTTTTTCTTTTTAATTAATTTTTGTGCATGTACTGTCAAATCAAATCTGACTGGTACAGGAGGAGATTACCCCTCCTTCTCCAGCAGAGCATCTGGTGGATTCAAACCACGTGCCTCTGGGATTGCAGCGCAGCTTCTTGCCGCTAGGCCACCAGAGCTCCCTTGAAACTTAGTCTTATTTTTTAAAATACCTTTTAAGATTATGGTGAGGATTAGATTCGATTAAATCAAAGAACTTCATGTAAAATCCTATACAGTCCTGGCATACAGTATGTGGTAACTAGAGTGTAGCTGATATTTGTTTTTTAAGTTAAACTGCTGGGAGAAATATCTGTAACTCTAATTTTCAAGCAAGCTCTGACTTAAATGAATCAAGTGAAAATAATAAATTTTTAAAGAGGATTATTTGTTTTTCAAAATAGAGCACTACAGTGCAAATTTAAAACATAAAACTCCTGGAATATTTTAAAGATCCAATATCCATAAATAAGGGAACATAAAAATAGTTCCCAGATTACAAATGAATTTCATTCCTAATCTATTAAGTTGAATTTGTACATAAATTGAAACTGTAAAGTACCATTTATATTTAACATCAGTTACTTAGATATTTGTCTTCACATATACTGCACCTTTCTGTATGTAAAAAATATTGGCAAAACACTTTCTGATACACAACACATCCTCAACATAATAGAGGAGTAGTAGTAGGAGGAGGAGGAGGAATAACAATAATAATAGTAATAATAATAATAATAAAGTTTAACTGTACACCACAGAGTAGTTTTCATTTTCTATAATGAACCATTGTATGTTCCTCAATTTTTTAATATACTGAGCACTATAAGGTTTGGTTCATAACTATGGAGACTGTCTGTTCTAAGAGCATTTGTAAAGCACTTAGCACAGTGCCAGTGACATAAAAGTGTTAAATAAATGTTTGCCATTATATTTATAACTAAAAGCATTACTCAGAGAAAGTGAATACAACTTTAAGAGAAAGTAATAATTGAAC